GATCAATAAACATTCTTTAGAAAAGACATGAAATAGAAGTCTATTATAGATTTAATCTTCATGTCATAAAATCTAATGAAAAGAAGACTTGTAAACTGGTTTATTAATTTAAATAAGACATCAGGATCAGATCATGAGATTATTCAATTTAATATTGAACTGAGTGAAAAATAAATGAGTGAAAATCCTCTTCTCTCTAATCAGTATAACTTTGAAAAAGCTGATTGAAAAGCAGTTGAAGAAAGTATAAAACTGTTAAAATCTGAAAGATAGAATGAGCTATATTGAAATTCTAGTCAAGATATCTCAAATGAAACACTTGAGAATAGAGTGAAGCTTATTACATCTATTATTCTAACAAGTGTTAGAGATAATATTTCAAAGAGAAAATCTTCTGAGTATTCAAAACCTTGATGAAATGAGAATATCTTATCTAAAAGGAAAGAATTAGCTACTGCTAGAAGAGATTGAAAGAATGATGTAATATCTGATGAAGAGTTCAAAGCTGTCAGAAATGAATATTTTTCAGATATTAAAAGAGCTAAAACAGACTGCTGAAATAAATTTCTTGAAGAAGCATAAGAGAAGGAAGTTTTTAAAGCTTTTAACTATAGTAAAACAAGAAGTGTAGCAAAACTTTCAGTCTTAGAATATAAGTTTCAGAATGAATCATATACAGCAAACTCTTTTGAGAAAAAATGTCAAGCTTTTATAACAATTCTCTTTCAGAACTCACCAGATTCAGATTCAGATTCAGAGGAAGAGAATATATCACTTCTCAACTATATTAATGAAAATGACTGGAAATAATCTGATCTTACACAAGATGAATTAGAGTCAGCTATCTTCTTAAGCTCTGTTAAAACTGCTGCAGATTCTGATTCAATTAATCACTTAATTATTTAAAATATATATTCCTACTTAAAGAATGAATATTTTGAGCTCTTTTTCAATCTCTTGAAAAATGAATATCATTCTGAATGCTGAAGAGAAGTCACTGAAGTGATTCTTGCAAAACCTAATAGAAAAACTTCAATTTCTAAGTTATATAGAGTAATATCTCTATTGAACTATCTAGAAAAGGTTTTAGAAAAGATAATAGCTACTCAACTATCTTTTATAAGCTCTATAGATGATTCTCTTTTATTCAGTGACTAAATGAGAGGTAGAAAACAGTGTTCTGCAATTGATACTGTTCTCTCAGCTGTTCATGATATTCAAATAGCAAAGCATGAGAGTCTGGTCTCAACTGCAGTTTTTATTGATATAAAAGAAGCATTTGATCATGTTTCAAAGTCAAAGTTAATTCAGACATTGAAGACATTAAAACTGTCACTTTCTCTAATAAAATGAGTTAACTGTTTTATATCTAAAAGAAGTATATAACTCTTCTTTGATGAAATGAAACAAGATAAGACTGAGATAAAAATAGAAGTATCATGGAGATCTTCAATCTCACTCATTTTATTTGCAATATACACTGTCTATCTATTTAAAAATAGAAATATGAGAATAGTGTGATCTTCAAGTTATATGAATGATATTGATCTAGTCTACAGCTTAAAAACTATCAAAGAGAATTTGAAAGTAATTGAAGAAGCTGTAAAGAAAATCTTTGTTAGAGTAGATATCAATTAAATTCAATTTAATATAAATAAAACTGAGTTAATTCATTTCTTTTCTAGATTCA